TATATTTGTTAATGGATTGCCAATAATGTTTTTATTAAGTAATGCACTTAAAGGCAATGAACCTGATTGCTACAATAAAAAATGTGAAAAACAGAACTAGTTCATTTGAAACAGTTTGCAGTGGTCCAAAGAGATTCCTCACTTCAGTTATGCAGTCTGAGCATCTTCATTAGTCACTACAGTGAGTTTATTAGTGCTTAACTTTTGGAGATCAAAGAGGACTTCTGCGGTAAAGCGAACAACCACAAGTATGCCACTGCATTCCACTGCAAATGCCATGCACTTCCTGATTATCAGACAATAAAAGGCTTTAGACGCAGACGGCACACAGCAGACAGATTTCAACTTGGTTTCATTACACAATATATCTGTACTGGTGCAAGGCGGATTTGCTCAAACAGGAGGCCTTTGAGCTCATTTAAATTACATTTTGATGATTTTTGCTTGATTTAATTGCTGATTTCTATGTTTCTTTGACCTTCTGCAAAACCTGTGCCCTGACACCAAAGTGTGAAGGTGCATCAGCCATTAGCAGTGTTGGGGAGTAACAGATTACATGTACCAGAGTTATGTAATCAGAGTACAAATGATGAGTAACTGTATTCAGTTACAGTTACTGTTTCAGTGAGTGGTAATTGGATTACAGTTACTTGGTTGAAATAAATGGATTACACAGCGGTATTTTCCTGTTTTCACATTTTGGGCTATACCCCCCCCCCCCCTTTTTAAATGTATTTTTTTATTTTTTTGGTAATTCCACTCATTGCCGGAAACTAAACCAGGTCTGAACTAGATCTAAACTAGATCTAAATCAGGTCTAAACCAGAACTAAAACCAGGTCTAAAACCAGGTCTAAAACCAGGTCTAAACTAGATCTAAACTAGCTCTAAACCAAATCTAAACCAGGTCTAAACCAGGTCTAAACCAGGACTAAAACCAGGTCTAAAACCAGGTCTAAACTAGATCTAAACTAGACCTAAATCAGGTCTAAACCAGAACTAAAACCAGAACTAAAACCAGGTCTAAAACCAGGTCTAAAACCAGGTCTAAAACCAGGTCTAAACTAGATCTAAACTAGATCTAAACTAGATCTAAACTAGATCTAAACCAGGTCTAAACCAGGTCTAAACCAGGACTAAACCAAATCTAAACCAGGTCTAAACCAGGTCTAAACCAGGACTAAACCAGGACTAAACCAGGACTAAAACCAGGTCTAAAACCAGGTCTAAACTAGTTCTAAACTAGATCTAAACTAGGTCTAAACCAGGACTAAACCAAGACTAAACCAGGTCTAAAACAGGATTTAACAGGACTAAATCCTGCTGTGTGGACGTGTCTCCTCGTCTTCTATCAATAATATTTTTAATTTGGTTCAGTAAAATCTGGGTTTTTTTATTTTCTTTTAGCAGACAAAACATCTTATGTTATGATTTCCTCGACTTTGCTTCTCTACAGCAAATCAAGTAATCCGAAGTATTCAGATTACGCTACTCACTTTAAATAATTTAATGGATTATGTTACAAACTACATTTTGGGGTATGTAATCTGTAATCTGTAGGGGAATACATTTTAAAAATAACCTTCCCAACACTGGCCATTAGGGCAGAAAGACGAAGATGCAAGAAAAGGTCAAATAATAATAAGGTCAAATAAACCAAGTAAAACGTTTTATTGTTTGGACATTTATGAGTTTTCTGTGTGAAGCTCTGGCCTGTCACGATAATCACAGTATCAATTTATCGGTTTATGAAAACTGGAACTATAGAATTTTAGGGTTATTATTTACTGCGTGCACTTTTCTTAGCACTAATGGGATTATTTTTTGGCTACGTTATAAGACTGAATCTGTAAAAGGTTGAATTATTAACTTCTATGACTCATTACAGATGCACCAAAATGTTTAATTCTGCTATTTATTTATTGCATCTCATGATTTTCTAACAATATTGTATATTTAGAATAGTTTTTGTGCTATAAATCAGCTCTAGAGTTATTGCGTCAGAGGCATAAATGAATTGCAATATTATAATTCATTGTATATTTACTTCAGCAATGTATCAATCTTCAAAATGTGTTATTGTTTGTGTTTGAAGGATAAATTGCCACTACAGTTTCATTTGGATCACATGATTTTTTATTTTACATTTCATATTTGTGTTGTCATTTTAGTGTTTCTTCATGAACTACAGATTCTTAAATTGGTTTTACTCAAATTGTGGACTCAATTTATGTATTTAATTATGTGTAATTATGTAAAAACTCGTCCTGACTCGTTCTCATCGACCCAGGCTTGTTTCTTGTCTTGTGAGGAATGTGTTTGGTCTGGTCCTTTGCACTGGTCCTTGTGTGTTTTGAGTAAATACAGGTTGTTTTCAGCTACGCACACACGCACACACGCATACACGCACACACACACACACACACACGCTGGGGCAAAGAGACTTACATCAGGCAGCCGGGGGATCTGGATGAGCCTCTTGAAGTACAACATGTCTCGAGCTTTGTTGAAGAAGGTTTTCAGGCTGCAACACAAACACAAACAGTTATTTTTCCAGTGATACAAAACCTGGACAGTGACGAGGGCCTCAGCTCGGCCCGTCTGTCCTCTGGTCTGTACGTAAAGGCCTTGTACTCGTCTTAACACATCTGTACACATGTGTGACTGTGACGATGTCCTACTCGCAAACAGAACAAGAGCCAGAGCCAGATTTATCTCTTGATTACTTTGTACTGTGCCATGAATTATTCGATTGTAAATCCCTTGGCGAGCTACTATGAAGAGGGTGGGGAGATACTGGTAGCTCCCGAGCTACAGGTTGGAGACCCCTGGATTAGAAAATAGCACAATCTGGAGCCTTTAATGTACCATATTTTCCACACTATTAACAAAATACAACCGTACCGAACTTTAAATGAAACCCAACAGTGTGATGGGTGAGTGGTTTTGTTTGTTTGTGGCGTTCACGGTGACTCTGGGCTTTGTTCAGTTGTGGCGTGTAGGGAGGGTGCTGTCTGGGACGCTGGATTGTCGGCGTGTTCACAGTGACTCAGTTGTTCAGTTGAGTCTAGAAGTGGCACATTGCACTCGCTTTTTCGGTTTGTTCCTCCGTTCCGTTCCTCGTCGGCGTGGAGTGATGAGTGTGTCTGTGGGTGTGTTTCTCTGTGCGGTCGCTGTCTGCTCCGTGTGTGTTTGTGTGTTCTGCAGGTGGTGTGTGTTTGTAGTTTACTGAAGTGGTGCTGGGACACCTGAGTGGATTCGTGTATAGGGGCTCTGGATTGTAGGGCGCAGTCGTTTTTTGATGGGGTTGGAGGCCTAAGAGCGCGTCTAATAACCCGGAAAATACAGTATCTGTAGTTAAGTTTTTATAAATTGGATTTCATGTAATTTTGTGGTGCATCCTTTACTGGCTTGTCTCCATGGGGATGATATTGCTTAACTTTAAATGTCCCACAGTATAGCATTAAACGTATCTGTTCATGGAGACAAGCAAGCGACGTCACCAGGCTCTTTGTAAGCACTAAAAAACCTATAATGCAAGATGGATACATTCAATGCCATACCATGGACAGTGTTGGGAAGGTGACTTTTAAAATGTATTCCCTTACAGATTACAGATTACATACCTCAAAATGTAGTTTGTAACATAATCCATTAAATTACTTAAAGTGAGTAACGTAATCTGAATACTTTGGATTACTTGATTTGCTGTAGAGAAGCAAAGACTAGGATAACTTCACATAAAATGTTTTGTGTGCTAAAAGAAAATAAAAAGCCCAGACTTTACTTAACCTTATTGAAAATATTATATTATTATAGAGGAGGAGACACGGTCCGCGCAGCGTGGTTTCGTCCTGTTAAATCCTGTTTTAGTCCTGGTTTAGACCTGGTTTAGACCTGGTTTAGACCTGGTTTAGACCTGGTTTAGACCTGTTTTAGACCTGGTTTAGACCTGGTTTAGACCTGGTTTAGTCCTGGTTTAGACCTGGTTTAGACCTGGTTTTAGTCCTGGTTTAGACCTGGTTTAGACCTGGTTTTAGTCCTGGTTTTAGTCCTGATTTAGACCTGGTTTAGACCTGGTTTTAGTCCTGGTTTAGACCTGGTTTAGACCTGGTTTTAGTCCTGGTTTAGATCTAGTTCAGACCTGGTTTTAGTCCTGGTTTAGACCTGGGTTCAGTCCTGGTTCAACCCTGAATTAGTCCTGGTTTAGACCGCCATGTAATCCCATTTATTTCAACAAAGTAACTGTAATCCAATTACCTGTCATGGAAACAGTAACTGTAACTGAATACTCCTTTAAGAGAGGAAGCTCAGGAGGTTCATTATTTTAACAGATTCATGTTCCTCACCAGTGAAAGGAGCTGTGAGGTTTCCCACAATCTACTGCAGATCAAACCCAATGCTTCCAAACACTATTGTACAAGTGACACTGCAACTGATTATTAATTAAAATCTTCTGCATAAATAAACTTTACATGACTAAACTTTACAACATATAAACATAACGACTCTAGAGCCACATCAGCCCGTTTCAGATTATAATGTGTTTAATGCAGCTTTGTGCACATGTGTTTACGTTTTACAGAAACAAAACTTAAAAATGCATGGCTCATTTGCATAAACAGTTCTTTCCTTGTGCTGCTGATGCGTTCAGTTTCTTTCGGACTACAGGACACGACTCAGTGGAATATGATTGTTCTCTGTGACAGAGGATGTGCTGCTGATGGTTTTGTCTGTAAATGATGGAAAAGTTTCGTGGTGCTCGAAGCTTTTCATTGGTACCAACTTTCTGCATTCACGGCGATAGTGAGGAGTGAATGAGACATGGTAGCAAAATCAGGGAGGCGGGGGCGCACACAGAGAAGACAAACAAGCGAAGCGGCGAAATCAAAACTGAAAATAAACATCATATCGATATATACGATATGTCAGAATTCATATCGAGTTTTAAAAATATCTCAAATTTTAAATATCGAGATATCGCCCACCCCTAGTTCACAATGAAATCTCCCCCTCAAAGGCTATTTTATCTCAAATTTAAATTCTACAGAGTAAATTCACACTTTTTGTTTACTACTGTCCATTTTTGTTCATTCAGAGGTGTGATGCCTCCAGTCAAAATCTACAATGCAAATAAGGAAAAACGACTCACTGAAAAAAAAACGTGACTAGTGTATGGGTTTGCCCTACATCACTAGTCCTGTCTCGTGAATCTTGTACACTGACAATAACAAAGAAGCTTTTCTGATTCTAATATAAAGAGGGAAGAGCACAGAAAATGCTCCTTTAGACTTAAAAGCGCCCAGTGTTCTGTGTATGTATCCTATGGGTGTGTGTGGAAATGCCCGGGTTGCATTTGCATGTGTGTACGTGCGTGCGTGCGTGCGTGTGTGTGTGTGTACGTGTGTGTGTGTACGTGTGTGTGTGTGTGCGTGTGGGCGAGGCAGAGTTAGGTTGCAGTGTTCTTTAGGAGCCACACTAATTCTTTTCCACTAGGACAGGTTTAGCCCTGGGCCAGCGCCTCCTACCTGTGGAACTGGTCGTGGAAGCGGTCGCGGTGTCCTTGGAGAGTGTCAGCCGGGAGACCTGAGAGACAGACACACAATATGAACACACAATAGAATACGAACACACAATAGAATATGAACACACAATAGAATACGAACACACAATAGAATACGAACACACAGTACAAAATGAACACACACTAGGGTTACACACATGCCAGGAAAATGACAAAGATTACTGGACTACTGTGATTTGAAGTGGGTTCAGGACACAATATTACCTCGTGAGCTTTAAATCATACTAAAATACTAGGAGTCGTGTTTTGTTTCTTTACTTTTTTTTTGTAATTCTTTATTTTTCATTTTTAAGTGGTATGAAAAAGACAAATACAGTATAATATGTGGGCTGTGCCTTTGATGAACACACATGAATAGTTATTACAACCAATTGCAAGAAAAACTAAGTAAAGGGTTACACAAAATCTGGTCTTGATCAATTCAGTCCACTGTTTCCATTTGTTCTTATATTTGTCTTGTTGCAGCCTTTCCTAAAAGTATTTCTCTCTATCTAGTCACCTCCAGTCTCTCTCTCTAAAACCTTTAAATCATGCAAGAAATCTCAGGGTAATAATGGACTCAGACTTGAACTTTAACAGCCACATCAGATCAATAAGGTTTACTGTCTAAAGCAGACTTGGAGAAACTTATCCATGTGTTTGTCTCCAGTAGGTTAGATACTGTAATGTTCTGCTCACTGGTCTCTCCAAACGAGCTGTGAGACGCTGCAGAACATCCAGAACACTGCAGCTCGGGTCCTTATTCGAACTAGGAAGTACAAGCACATAAGTCCTGTGCTCAGGTCTCTGCACTGGCTCCTGTGCCTCAGAGACTTTAAAGCAGCTCTGCTTGTACAAGTCTCTCCATGGCCGAGCACCAAAGTCCATCTGTGACATGTTAGTGTCATATGAACCATCTCACACTCTGAGGAGCTCAGGGACCGACCTCCTGCTGGTGCCCAGAGTCACGACTAAACAAGTTCATGCAGCTAAAACCTGGAACAGTCTTCCTGAACATGTGAGACAACATCAAAACGGTTCTGTTTCACTGTGCATATGACTGAAAGGTTTTCATTCCGCCCTCTTCTCTCTAATTTATGTACTGTATTTTCCGGGCTATTAGGTGCTCTGGATTATAAGACGCACTGTCATTAAATGGTCTATTTTTTGAACTTTTTTCACAAATGAACCGCACCGGATTTAAAGGAAACCCAACAGTGTGATGGGTGAGTGGTTTTGTTTGTTTGTGGCGTTCACAGAGACTCTGGGCTTTGTTCAGTTGTGGCGTGTAGGGAGGGTGTTGTCTGGGACCAACGGATTGTCGGCGTGTTCACAGTGACTCAGTTGTTCAGTTGTGTCTAGAAGTGGCACATTGCACTTTTTCGGTTCGTTCCTCCATTCCGTTCCTCGTCGGCGTGGAGTGATGAGTGTGGCTGTGGGTGTGTTTCGCTGTGCGGTCGTTGTCTGCTCCATGTGTGTTTGTGTGTTCTGCGGGTGTTGCGGCTTTGTAGTTTACTAAAGTCGTGCTGGGACACCCGATTGGATTTGGGTATAGGGCGCTCTGGATTGTGGGGCGCGGGGAAGTTTTTTGATGGGGTTAGAAGCTTAAGAGTGCGTCTAATAGCCCGGAAAATACGGTCATTAATGTCTCTCTCTCTTTTTTAATTTTAATCTTTAATTTTGTGATGATTATTTATGTTTTGATTTGTTTTTATCGTGATTTTAATGTATTTCTTATTCTGTAAAGCACTTTGAATTACTTTGTGTACGAATTGTGCTATACAAATAACTTGCCTCCCTTGCTTTGCCCATCTTAAAAATATCATAAACAATCTCAAACCACTCATCCAATGTTGGTGAACTAAGCCATTTACTGGTTAGAGCTTTCTTAGCAGCTGCACTCAAAATCTGAAACTGGTATTTAACTTTATACGTCACATTTTCACCCATCAGGAGACCCACATAACTGTTTCAAGTCGAACTGGTCAATAGAGAACACTGTTTCTAATGATTTGTGAGTTTCCCTCCAAAATGGAACAATATGAGGACATCTCCAAAATATATTTTCTTTCAGTCCACGACATGCCTCCAACAGTTTGATGATTTGGTGTAAAGTCTTTCCTGGACTGGTGTTTTGAAAGGAGATGTGTTTTGTTTCATTCACACATGTCTGAGTAAATCTTTATCATCAGTCTGTCTACATCCCCAAAGCTCAAAATGCTCTGTTCCACCTTGTGATGTCATGAAGCTGTAGTTTTCAAGTCACTTTAGTTCAGAAAAGATAAAGATCAGCAACTCCAGGGCTAAAATCATCCAAATGATTCTAGTGAAGGTGTGTAGAGTTTACCAGAGTGCTTTCTGTTTTTTCAGTTTTTGAACTCAGTTTAAATATGGAGAGTTTGTGTGTTAAACATGTGTGAATGAAACAAAAGACAAACCCAGGTCTGTTTTAATGAGGAAACTACATTAGAATATATTACCACATGACATCACAAGGTGGAGTGTGTAAAGTAAATGTGCAAGGTTTGTGTGTTAAACATGTGTGAATGAAGAAAACACAACTCCAGGTCTGTTTGTGATGAGGAAACATTAGAACATAAATCAGAAAATAGACTAATATGGGCCCTGTAAATGTAAACACAGGAATTTTGGAACGGACATGATTCGAATTTCCCAGTGAGGTTGAGATCATGTGTAAAATTTGGTAGATTCACTGTTTTTGAAAGAAATCTCTGAAAATGTGGAACAATCATAATTTTTTTGGCTTGGCTCCACAAATGTAGAATATTAATCTTATGATTTAAAGTCCAGCAGTCATTAAATGTCAGTCCTTTGATGCAACGTTAAGCCATGCATTTTTCTCGAGTCCAAAAGTGGCCGCCTACTGGTCTGATGTGTTTAATACAATATCGCAGATTGTTAAAATGACATTATTGCCGGAACCCTTGTTAATTATCCTTGGTACATCAGAAGTATTTAATAATCTGAGATAAGCCCAAAAGCAGTTCATTTCCTATAGAGGCTTTGCACCGTCATGTGTCCCCCATGGGAATGGTACCTACACCGCCATGACACCAGGCACGATATGTCATTGACTTCAGCAGCATTGGAGAAACATGGGCAGGTTTTGTTGTGTATTTGGTTGTTCTAGACGCTCTGAAAGGGATAAAACGAATCGTTTCTTCACTGTTCCTCTGGAAATGACTCATCAGGATCAAACAAGGGAATTATCAAAAAAAAGACGCAGATTATGTCTAGACAACATAAACCACGAAGAGATTTCCTATGGTCCCATCAAGACACACTCACGTCACTTTCATCAAGGTATTTGCTATTTAAACTGTTTCATAGCTTATTTAATGACAAGAGCACATTTACTGAACTAAAATGTAAATGCAGTGTGAGTGGCAGTAGAAACTGGATCTTCCAGCGCTGTCGTAGGACTTGTCGTAGGACCCATGTTTTCTTTCTTGCCTTTGTCTTCTAGAATTAATCACTTTTTGTGAGTGGATCTTTCTAACGTTCGCGAGGATCTTTTCATGGCCGATTCTTTCGATGTTCGGCTCACAGACTCTTCGACTCGTGCACCATGTTGATCACAGGAGCCCAGTGTGGGTTTGTTGAATAGTAAACTAGTGCAGGTTTTCCTGACTAAATTAATGAAATTTTAGTTCAGTAAATGTGCTTCTTTCATTAAATACGCTATGAAACAATTTAAATAGTAAATACCTTGATGAAAGTGACGTGAGTGTGTCTTGATGGGACCATTGGAAATCTCTTTGTGGTTTATGTTCTCTAGCCATAATCCGTGTCTTTTTTTTGATAATTCCCTTGTTTGAGCTCCTGATTAGTCATTTCCAGAGGAACAGTGAAGAAACGAATCATTTTATCCCATTCAGAGCATCTAGAACAACCAAATACACAACAAAACCTGCCCATGTTTCTCTGATGCTACTGAAGTCAATGACATAGTGTGCCCGGTGTCATGGCGGAGTAGGTAGTGTTGTCATGGGGACACGTGACGGTGCAAAGCCTCTATAGTCATATTAATGCTAAGAAACTACTCTTAATGTCATGGAAGGGGCCGTCAGTACCAAGCTGTAAAATGTGGCTATGAGACGTTGTTAACATTTTACATCTAGAGAGAATATGATATTTGTTAAAAGATAAACTACAGTCATTTAAGAAAGTGTGGCAACCCCTTTTTTTAGATTTTTTTTTTAGAATCGGTAACTATGTGAATAACATCTCCAAATTCACAGATATCTGTACCTCCGCAGGCCGTTACTATGTTTGTTGTCAGTGTTGTGAAATGTATTTTTTATTTTAACTTGATATACCAAAAAGCATTGAGCGCTGTTGATCCTGTACAATTTGAGTTGTGCTCTGTTTTTGGCTCAATAAGAATATTATGACTAAAGTCCAGCAATCACGTCTTTGGTTGTTAATGTTTTAATAATTATAATGTTGTTAATAATTATAATGTTATTATAAAACATTATTCATAAACCAGGTCAACAATTCTGCAGTCTGACAGGTAAGCAGCAAATTCCACCTGAGAATTCTGATCCGTGCTGCAGCTCAGTTTATAAAAATTTGTATAAACCTTCTATAATGTATGTACTGTATGTTTGGATATTTTGTGTCTCATTTTAAATCTGCTACGACACAAACTACGGCCCCTGCAGTGGCCATGTTACACTCTTTTAGCAAAAACTACTAGAGCTTCACTAGAGCTGCAGGAGATGCAAATAACTTGTTTACACTGAATTGCCAAGTAAATTAGTTCTCTCTCTCTTTTTTTTGTTTTTATTAGCAATCATAGCCACAAAATTAAGTGGAAAAACTGTACTTTTCCATGTTTACAACAGTCGAATTCTGTAAGGTCACCTACTTTCATTTTCATCTCTTTGTGTTCTTGATTTCTAAGCAAATAATAATTTGAATAGTGAATTCAAATATGATTTAAATAATTGTTTTTTTTTTGTGTACTTGATTTTCTTCCATGTATGTGAGTAAAATGAGTCTTGCCCCAGTACAGATATATTGTATAAGCAGCTCTGGAGGTCTCTGGAGGAAGCAGAGTACTGTCTGCATCTAACTGTAAGTGTTTTACGGTCCGAGAATATATAAACTCATCATGATGAATACCTAGAATGCTCTGAATGCATACTGTAAGTGAGGAAACACTTTGAACCACTGCAAACTGTTGAAACACTTTGAACCACTGCAAACTGTTAAACTAAAATGTTAAACTTGTTTTCATGTTTTGAGGGCAGTAAACATAAGGTAATGGAGCGGCCCTAACACAGACTGGGATAAGAGTCTGAGTGGTTCTCTGGACAAATGCTTGCATAGTTGTCTAAAGAGCAGACTCTGTGTTCTCTCTGCATGTGACTGACTGCTGGCTGGAGCAGTGTCATGTGTGGAGCTGAACATATACTTGTTGTATGCAGTGCTGGTGCTTACATGCGTGCAGTTTGAAGAGGAGCTTGACGGTGAAGTGGTAGAGCTGGCTGCAGTCCTGGATCACCTGAATGAGAGGAGACAGGCGGCACTGGCCTGAGGTCAGACTGGAGATGGCGATGGACGTGTTCAGCTGTCGGATCACTGCAAAACAACACACACACAAAATGTTACAGTGAGTCGCTGAACATGTGTGAACACACTGTGCTTCAGGATGAAAAACTTTATAGAGCCTGCGCACTTACTATTTTAAAAAGGTTTTATAACAACTGAAAACCTGTGTCAGCAGAGTCTTCACCTGCACATAGAGACACATCCAAGTTTGTCTCATTCTCAGTTTATGTTCAGGTCTCATGTGAAGCTCAGAGCCTCCAGAATTCCCCCCCCCCCCCCCCCGTGCAGTCTCATTCTGCTCTCTGATGGGATAATCGTCTTGAGCCAAAAAAAAACAAAAAAAAACAGTGTTTTCCAGAATAAATCAGTAAAAGATATATTTGATTTGAACATGTGTCCCTCATATCTTGAAACAAAAATAGATGAAATTTATGGTATTTAAAATCTAAATCTTACATACAGTTGATGAGCATGTGCAAGAAAAAGAAATATCGAGTACAGTAAAGTGTGTTAACAAGTAGCCTGTCAGCAACAGCCCCTCATGAAAACAACAACAAAAACAACATAAACAACAAAAACAGAGTTTAGAAGTGCTGCATAACTCAAATTAACAATACAGGTTTTAGGCTAAGACTAAAATGTCCATTTTGGTGGAAGCGCTTTTTACTTCAGAGCTAATGATGACCACATGACCAGAATAACAGATGCACTGATGCCTTTAGTTCTGCTCTTACAAATAAAAGCTCTGTCTAAACACAAGCACAAACATTCTACATAATCTTGTACAGTGAGACTAGAACATTCATTCCACTCTCATCTTTATTTTATTACATAATTTTTCTTTGGAAACAGGGCCTGTTTCTTATTTCAGCTTATTTGGCAAAAAATGTTTAACTAAAAACAGCAAGTCATGGGACTGTGTTTTTGGAAGTGAGCAGAGGACAAGTGTAGGAGTCTGCTTCCTGTCCTTCTACAGGCTCATCACAGTGAAACCAAGAGCAAACACCGGCTTTGGCTGATCACTGCAACAACAAACAACAGACGTGTCATGTACAAAGCTCTGCACACACAAAGACACTGGGATTCTGTGTTGTACGACTCCACACTTTAGTCTGAAAATGTCACATTCTGTTCATTCAGTCACTTCCTGTCTTGGTCAAAAGACCCTTGATGAAAACATGCACTCGTTTCCGTTGTTAATGAGCTAATGGCAATGACAACTTTAAACAGGGCGTTCACTTCCTGTACGTCGTTACCAGTTACTGTCAACATAACACACATTTTTTCAGAATCTACACATGCAAATGTGAAACATTTACACAGCACTGGTAACACGTGTATGTCTATGGCAGAATGTTCAGCAATTACCATAGTGACACACTGGACATGTAAGCAAACAGCCTGATGTGTTTTTAAATGCTCTGAAAACAAACTGGACTCAAACTAAATGTTTTCAGGAGCCTGTGATCAACAGGAGCTTTCATAGTCCCGTCTGGGTGTTTCATTTTAACAATAACTGAGAAAGTGGCTGTGGTTTCAGGCGCACTCAAAATCTGATTAATATCACATTTTTGGAGTTTCAAGAATATTTAAGCAGTGTTGGGGAGTAACAGATTACATGTACCAGAGTTATGTAATCAGAGTACAAATTATGAGTAACTGTATTCATTTACAGTTACTGTTTCAATGAGTGGTAATTAGATTACAGTTACTTTGTTGAAATAAATTGATTACACAGTGGTATTTTCCCGTTTTCACATTTTGGGCTATATCCGTTTTTTTTGTTTTTTTTCAGTAATTCCACTCATTGCCAGAAACTAAACTAGATCTAAACCAGGTCTAAAACCAGGATTAAAACCAGGTCTAAACTAGAGCTAAACCAGGACTAAACCAGGTCTAAAACAGATCTAAAACCAGGACTAAACCAGGTCTAAAACAGGTCTAAAACCAGGACTAAACCAGGTCTAAAACAGGTCTAAAACCAGGACTAAACCAGGACTAAAACAGGATTTAACAGGACTAAATCATGCCGTGTAGACCGTGTCTCCTCCTCTTCTATCAATAATATTTTTAATACGATTAAGTAAAGTCTGGGTTTTTTATTTTCTTTTAGCAGACAAAACAAGTTACGATATCCTCGTCTTTGCTTCTCTACAGCAAATCAAGTAATCCAAAGTATTCAGATTACGTTACTCACTTTAAATCATTTAATGGATTATGTTACAAACTACATTTTGAGGTATATAATCTGTAATCTGTAGGGAAATACATTTTAAAAGTCACCTTCCCAACACTGTATTTAAGTAAGGCCCAGAAATCAGACTATAATACCTATGCTGGTTAGCTTGTGACTGTAATGTTATTTCAAATTTACGTGTTTAACTTGAACAAATCAGCCTGTCTGTTTTTAGAATCTGATAAAAGCTAAAACAAAACTCATCATTTTACTGATCTATGTTTTAATGTCATTATCCCATCACAAACAGACCTGGACTTGTGTTTTTTTTCTTTCACACATGTTTAACACACAAAGCCTGCACACTTAAGCTTCTTCTTTCAAACAGAAAACACCCTGTTCCACCTTGTGATGTCATGTGCTAATCCATGAAGTGCTTCACAGTGTTTTAATCCCCATACACTTTCACTAGAATCACTTGGATCATTTCAGATGTGTTGGAAAAGCTCACTTTCTACATGAAGTAGTTCAAAGTTCAGTTCACAAATTTCAAAATGATCATAGTTCATAATTGTTTAGAGTTAACAGTTCATTCATAGTACCAAAAAAAGAACTAGTTCATTGATCTTTTTTTTTTTTTAATACGTTGCTGCGAGCGATTATTTTTCAATATCACACCAAAGCGCATACAGAACCACAGACAGCAATGATTTGATCAGTTTTAACAATGAAACTATGTGTTAGATTTCATCTTCATATTAAATTTTGAATCCTCATCCAACCAGGGTTCACGTGAGCATTTAGGGAAGAGCATTTCCCCAGTGTTTGTGTTCAGTCACACGAGGAGCAGCTGCAGCTTTCACTCCTACCCTCCGTCTTGTTTCGATGACGCATGCAGCGATGCGACGCTGGGGGCGAGCGTTGTTGCCAGATTGAATGTTTTTCCGCTAAATATTGTGGGCTCTTTATGGTGTGTTCAGATGGGTTCACGCCTGGAACCCTAAAGAAATGTGGCACCCTATTGAACCAAGTTAAATAGAAGCTCATGCAGTTCACAGACTCCAGAATGAACGCGCTCACAGTTCATTCATCAGACAGGAATACAGTGTGTTCAGATTACCTTCCGCCAAAATATGAACGGGTTCATTGAACAATAATTTCAGCTCTGGAATCTGCGATCTCTACTGAACAAACGGTAAAAAGAGTTCACATAAAAACTACTGCTTCATGACATCACAAGGTAGAACAGAGCATTTTGGGTGTTGGAGATGCAGACAGACTAAAAACGCAAGATTACTCCAACATGTGTGAATGAAACATAACTCCAGGTTTGTTTGTGAGAAGGTAACAGCATTGTAACAACTTAAAGATTGTATAGAGGATTTTTTTAAGGGAAGTGAAATACAGCGACAGTCCTTTTTCAAATGTTGTGCATGTGTGACACCACCTCCCTCCTCCACAGCTCCGTCAGTACAAACACCTCCTCCCGTCTCCTTACTCTAGAACTCACGTTTGTTTACATCCAGTGTGTGTTCAGAATTACTGTTGAATCACCTCAGTTTGTTTTCGCTCCTTTTCCCCTTCTCTTCTTCTTTCAGGGACCTCAAAAACAAACTTTGTGCGAAATGCGAGGAAGCGACAGTTTGAAAAAGCCTCTAAGAACCGCTGCATAAACCACATAATCCCCACGCACCGGTGAATCAGTTACACTAGAAACATAGGGAGTTTTATTGACAACCTAACAGCCAATAGAAAATGAGGGAGCTTCGTTATCTATTGGCTGATGTTTATCTGGCCTCACTACATCCACAGTTGATAGATTTTCATTCTTTTTTTTTGGTCATCATAATTACAAGGCTGCTGCATCTCTGTAATGGTATTTTAATCTTTCACTGACAATTTGAAACAAAACAAAAATCTCCATACAACCTTTACAACTCATATATAGGATCTTTAAAATCTAACTTGAGTAACAGAAATTCAGACAGAACAGTGCTTCCAGTTAGCTTCACCCCTACAGGGAATGTTGATGACCTCAGCTGCAAAGTATCAATAAGTGACAATGAGGTGATGTTTAATTTCTTTCATTACAGTTTTTGTTCACATGACGCAGACTCTGGCCACTCCAGCCCTCAGAGCAGCACACGAGCAGAGAACAGGAAGTGAGCTTAATTCTCAGATTGCCGGCATTTCCTCACCATTTAGCTCTAATTAAAGGCTCACAACGCAATTTAAAGTGCAGATGCCATGATGCTACTCTGACATGTCGATATTTAAATACTGACGTCTAATTGTTGGAGTAGCGGCATAAATAGGGTGACCAAACATATGTTTTTCCCCGACATGTCAGTTTTTTGTGTCCTGTCCTGGCCGTCTGGTTTTTTTTTAATAAAGTGATGGAAATGTCCGGGTTTTTATTTCCTTTCTTTGGGCCATTCAATTGAGTGTGTCTCGTAGTTCTCTGTGCATCAGAAGGAGCGAGCAGACACAGTCGGTCAGTCTGAAATATACTGAAGCACAAATGCGCATTTAACAATGACTTGTACAAGAAATTCTCCGTGTTCTCTCTGTTTTCAGTCGAGAAAAGTGGGAGGCCATGTGCACAGGTTGTGAGGTGAGACTAGCTCAATGTCGAGGCTCCACCCCCCACCCCCAGTAAGATGTCCGGGTTTTCACAAACGGAAATATGGTCACCCTAGGCATAAACATTATTTTCCAAGCGTCCCACTACTTTGACTTTTTATTTTTCATTGTCGGGGGAGTGGCACTTTACTATTTTTCAAACATTCCGCTTTTCAGACATAAATAATATTAATGCAACGCTCTTGATCAGAGAATACATGGGCCACAGAGGAGATCAGACAGAGGGAGAATCATCACTGTGATCACCGTGGGAAACAGTCATGCATTTTAAAAAAGAGCATAGACCAGCCTTTGGGAAAATATCTCATCTAAAACAGAGGCTGCATGGGCTTTTGTGCTTCAGTTATTTCATCATGTAGACGATCTGCGGATAACACCATACAAATATGTATGTATATATGCCGAAATAACTTAATATCGAAATAACAATACTAAAAAGTGTCGTTACAGTGGCACATCTAAACAGAGACGTCGGATGTGGGAATAGGCAGCGGACCCCGTGGCCGGTCTACTGTGGGCTAACCCAGTTCGTGGCTTGGCCCAACTCTGAGCGCATGAATAGATAATGACAGGTGCTGTGTGGTGGCTCCTGTTACTGTGGAGTTTTTCACCTGTCTCCGCCAGGCGCAGCTCCCCGTCCATGTAATCGAACACCTCCACAGTGAGCTGGAACCTGAGGGCCACAGAAACACGCCTTTGTTAGCATAATGAGCCATGAGAATTCAAACTGTAAAGTAGGACAAATTTAGACATACATGTGGGAAAATATTCATATTATTGTTATGAGAAGTCAGTCAATAGTGCAGCAATACTCAGTGGTGCAAAGTAACAAAGTACACAATAAAAGTACTTAAAAAAACCTAACACGTAGCATATTTATATCACTATGTTACATTTGATTGTTTTGAAAATGCTTTATGTTTTATAAGTTTCTCCTTATAAGTCTCCCTCCCTTTGCTCTCTGCACTAAGTCTCTCCCCCTCCTGAGCACTATCCCAACACAATCAGCTGAATCTTGCTAATGAAACAACTGCACATCACATCAGGTTTGTCAAGTTGCTGTGTACAGTTGTATCATGTTCTGTATATTTATGGAGAGTTGCCGGGTGGGATCATGGGAGATGTAGACTTGTGGGAGGAGCCTTGTACAGAATCTTAGTGCTAACTGTAAGAACAGTTAGGATAGGGTCCAGGAGAAATTGTTAAAATACTCAAAACGTGCATGAATGACACTGAAAACCTCTTCAGTCATGTTTACTAGGCTGGTCCATCAACACATGGGAAAAATCAAGTTTCAGATCATCTCGATTAGAACCTGCATTAAGTTTAAGCATAAAAAGATAATTTATTAAGAAATATTGAAGAAAAGGGAGATGTTTTAGAAGTTGCTCAAGCTGCATGAAGTTTCCTGGAAATTGACTCGTTTTGTGTTTTCAGCAGTGCTGGGCACTTTACTTTGAAAAAGTAAATAGTTATATTTACTTCTCCAAAAAAGTAACTGAGTTAGTAACTGAGATAATCTACTATAAAAGTAACTAGTTCAAGGTGAAAATGCTTTACAACAAGGAACCACTCACCCATTCAACCATTCACACACACACACACACACACACACCAGCGTCCACACACACCAGGGGCGAGGTGGGTTAAGAACACAACGACAGCATTCATTCGTGGGAGGTGGAATCACACCACCAAACGCTCTGAACTCTCAACCAATGATGTTTATGTCAAGAGTGGGAATCAAACCGCCAACCTTCGGATCAGTGGAGAAACGCTTTACCATCTGAGCTACTGCCGCCTGAGACAGGCCTGATGATGCAGACTTTCAGAAGCTGCTCAAACTGTGCTTTCCAATCTGGAATCTGATGTCTGGACAATACACCCTAATTTAAGTTATTTATTGAATCTTATAGACATACAGCAACACAAAATACAGGCATTATTATAAGTTCTTGTAAAAATATCTTAGCTTCTTTCATTCTTTCTTTCTTAAGGTTCATATGTACGGTATTTGGAAAGAACTATATAAAAGAATGCTTTTAAGATTGTACCAAGTGCATCTGGACAATACACATGAAGAGCTTCACTGTAGAAAATGGAAGTGAATTAAAGTAATTTTAGTAACACAAGGTCATTAAATGTACTACCTACAAATAACAATAACAAGGGCTTTTTCAGCAATAACATCTCCATGGCTAAAAGCATTTGAAGGACCCTCCATCTCGGTCTTTGCTGTTTGTGTATTGTTCTTTTCTGGTCTGAGAGGTTTGTTGTTTTTCCTGGTATCTGCTTTTATTTATAAATATATTTATACACTACCGTTCAAAAGTTTGGGGTCACTTAGAAATATCCTTATTTTTGAAGGAAAAGCACAGTTTTTTTCAATGAAGATAACTTTAAACTAATCAGAAATACACTCTATACATTGCTAATGTGGTAAATGACTATTCTAGTTGCACATGTCTGGTTTTTGGTGTAATATCCACATAGGTGTATAGAGGCTCATTTCCAGCAACTGTCACTCCAGTGTTTTAATGGTACAATGTGTTTGCTCACTGCGTCAAAAGGCCAATGGATGATTAGAAAACCCTTGTGCAATCCTCACCCTCACCCTAAACCCCACTGAGCTGTTGTGGGAGCAGCTTGAGCGTATGGTACACAAGAAGTGTCCATCCAGCCAATCCAACTTGTGGGAGGTGCTTCTAGAAGTGTGGGGAGAAATTCTCCAGATGACCTCAACAAATGAACAACTAGAATGCTAAAGGTCTGCAATGCTGTAATTGCTGTAAATGGAGAATTCTTTGACGAAAGCAAAATTTGAAGGAAAAAAAAAATTATTTCAAATACAAATCAATATTTCTAAACTTGTCAATGTCTTGACTATATTTTCTACTCATTTTACAACTCATGGTGGTAAATAAGTGACTTCTCATGGAAAACACAAAATTGTCAAACTTTTGAACGGTAGTGTGTGTATATATATATAATATATAATATATATAATAATATATATAATATTACATAATATTACATAATATATGTATATATATATATATATATATATATATATATATATATATATATATATATATATATATATATTATATGGATTTAAGAGCAAGGAAAGCATTTTTCTGACAGTTTAAAGATACATTTAACATAATAAAGGTGTTTTATTTTTATTTGTCTAATCAGAATTATTGTGCAATTATTGTCCCTTGTTTACAGTAGGTCACAGAACTGGAATTACCTCTGCACATGTCAGGGCCTGCTGCTGGTCCAACCAGGAAGGAAAACGATCAACTTTAACGAAATTAAAAACTGGACTAAAACTACATTTTGCAGTAGATACTTTTTACTTTTACTCCATTTGAGAGCAGGTATTTGTAATTTTTACTCAACTGGTTTTGGGAAATGGACTGAAAAGTAAAAGGTACTTGTCATGTGATGTGCGGGGTTATTTTTAGCACGTTCATGGCAACACCCAGACAACAGGTTTGAGGTCACGTCTTGGCTTTGAGCAAAAAAACAAAAATATACACAGAAAATACAATAGAATCAATCTATATTACTACATTTAACATTTTTAGAGTAAAAATGTATTTCATACAGATTTGGAGAACTGTTTTACATTTTAAACAGGTATTTCCATATTTCTTTTCATGTGATATTTTTACTCGAGTACTTGTATAACAAAATTGAGTTATCTCCATGGAGATGTTATTACTTTGCCTGAAATGTTCCATAGTACTGTACAGAATTAAATGTATTCTTATTATCATATATCTACTTAATTATAGATGTTTTGATCAAAAATACACTGAAAATGTGTATTCTTAGACTGAGCGGAGTCATCTCTCCACAGATCTACTTTGTCTCCATGGTGACAGGCATACAGGTTAAACTACACATTTCATTAAAATGTAGTTAACATAATCATATTTAATATAATATTTAGAATCTTGCCCAGTCTTTTTTACTTTTGTAATATTGGTGAGGTTTATAATGTTACTTCTTGGTTCATTGAGGTAATTCCATGTTACCTAGCAACCATAATGTAAACAAGATCCAAAAATAACCAAAATTACACAATAGTTATGATCACAGTAATTAAAATAAATGACAACACATTTATTTTGTTAACTGTCTAAAAAGTCCTTCCTTGTGCATTAATCTTCTCTGCATTTTGGACAGTGTTGATGACATAGGAAGAGGGATTCTGTTTTAGAACTCGCCACTACTTCTGCTGCTTATGTTATTATTGTCTAGCACATAATGTAGCTTTAAAATGGTGTGTTTTAGCGTGTGTCAAACCCATGGGGCGTCATGCATTTCCTGTTGTATACTGAAGTGTGTCGGGTTACATACACGTTGTTGATATCAGTCCCTGCGGCGCGCTCCAGGCCATCGTCTGTGATCTCCAGGTTGGGGGGGATGGTGTTGTGCTGTGGTCACAGAGGGACAGTTAGAACACTCAGGTGAGGTCAGTCATTAAGCAGATGTAACACGAGGACTTGCCTTTGTGTGGAACTCCATTTTGGTACACAGCAGTTTGGTGTAGAGGTGCACCAGTTGGCCATATTTGTCATGAAGATGGGCCTGGACACAAAATGGAAAAGCTTATTTAAAACTTAAATATCTGTACTAATAATTTCATCATTTTATGAGAAGGTGCACTGTTTAAATATTCTGGTGAAGGGTCCACTGCCTGCTGTCTGTATTGCATGTATGTATTGCACTTCTCTATTAAATGACAAAGGAAATTCAATTTGTCAACTGGACAAATGTTTATTTGTCATGGATTCTATCTGGACGAGTGAGGGATTTTACACACATCTCTATTAAATCTATTCAGCATTTATTCAATTACAGGTGTTTTTATTATCAAAATAAACAAAAAAAAGCATTCTTGTTGTGAGTGGGTCGCTTTTCCACAGATCTGACCTGTTACTTGGCTTGGTAATGCCACCAGCTCATACAGACACGTTTTTTGTCACACTGTATTGTAGTCAGTCTCCATTCACTCCACACTCTGTGGTCTAAAGCTACTATTGTAGCTATAGCTGCCCTGGGACAGGCAGATTTATACAAGGCTGCCAATCTGTGCCATCAGCCCCTTTGACCACCACGAACACTCACACACCACATTCATACTAAGCAATGTGGGTGACGTGTAAGTGTCTTGCCTAAGGACACAATGGCCACATTTAGATGTTTTTTAATTCCGAATGAAATGTTCTGAACTAAATAGTTCTGAATTAAAATATTCTTCTTCGAGTTTATATGGACATAATAATTCTGAATTGAAGTTTACTTGGAAAACATGTTAAATTGCCTTTATTCAATTCCGCTCAACGTCTGGGGTGAGGAAGGTTCTGATTGGACAGAGACACCAACGTATTTATGTCGACAGGAAGAAAACACACACTTCAGCTGCCATTAGCTTTTCTGTCATCTTGGTTTGTCATTACACCACAGACACAAACATGATCCAAACTTTTTTTTTAGAGTCGTTCAAATGATAATTGCGCATCAGCTGGAGAATTGTCTCATCACGCTTTACGTCTGTCAGCTGAGGAGGAGAAGGAAGGAAGAAGACAAAGTGAGTGTGAGTCTGCTCTACCTCAGCCCACTCCCACATCCGCTCACAAATCCAAAGAGACGTGGATGAAAGTCCGAAGACAGGACTGGTGGAGGGATCGTCGGGATCAATGCATCAGAAAGGCGACACAATGAACATGCGCCGAAGCACCCACATTATTTTAACAAGAATAAATGTTTACCTGATCGAGGAATAAATCAATTTGGCTTTAAAATCGGAATAAACCACCCATTTACTTTGAAATTAAGTTTAATTCCAAATAATCATTTTCATTAGGAATTAAGCGTTTACATGGTCTTTTTAAAGAGGAATACATTTTTATTCAGTATTAAATTACTTTTATTCAGAATTAAACCTCTAATGTAAACATGGCCCATGTCTGATGTTGGTTCAAGTGGGAATTAAGCAATAACATTTTCATAGAGACAAGCAGGTGACAAACCCTTGACCAGAATTTATGGAGTGCTCCCTAAAGGTTTAAAATGGTTTGTGTGGTTGTTTTATTTCCTTGAGGTCACTGTGATATTAGCCTGGCAGATATTACTGGGAAATACACATGCCCCAAGCTTCTCTACCATGAAATGACATCACCCAGTAATGACTGCCTGGTTACTTTGTCCATAACAGGACTTCTTACAGAGTTTCACGTGTATAAAGGACATTGAGAGGACTTACCCACATTTTCCCCACATCCACCAGACTGCTGTGGTGTCTCATACAGTCTTGTAAAACCTTGTAAACAGAAGAGAGTGAGACAGACACGCAGACACATGGACACAGAGGTGATAAACATGCGGGAGTCTGCTCTTACATTGCGGTGTCCGTCCCTGAGCACTTTGTGGAGCACGTGGCAGAACTTCCAGCTGAGGACAGAGCTGCTGGCCAGGGGGAAGCCCAGAGAGTACGACCAGAAGGTGTAGGCGCCCTTCTCTCTGTGTGTGCCCAGGATGATGCCTGTGTGCTGGGTTAAGGAAGCACCACCAGAGACCAGCCAAGTAACAGTATCACATGAAGACCGGACTGTGGTGTCATTGTCAAACTGTGTAATGTGTAATCATTCCCTATTGACACTTACAGTCACATCACGCTTGAGCTGTTCTACGTGTATCTATATTGGCAGATTGTTTATCAGTTACCATGGTGACATAGTGCACACATCAGCACACTGACAAAACATTTTCTCATGAAAACATACCAAATGGATTGCTAAATCACTCATTACATGCACGGATGACATATACAACCGCTTTAGGCAAGATCTGGATGAGGGAACAATATAAAATAGAAAAAGTTCTTTATCTGCACTGCTGATCTTAATAAATTAAATAAAAATAAATGAACCATCGAATGTACCCAACTGTGCACTGTGAGATGATTCTATTTTGTAGGTACTCACTACTACTAGCTAAAATCATTTAAAAGTAAAAAAATGATTTTTTTTTGTTTGTTTTGGTTGAAAATATACCATATCAATGTCCAGACACTGAAGCTCATGTCTGCATTGTCCAGGTATAGTTCTCTCTCTGTGTGTGTGTGTGTGTGTGTGTGTGTATATATATATACACACATACACACACATACACACATCTACCACCTGTAATTGCATGAATGTAAAGTCGAGCTGTTTAATGCCACACTGTGGAACATTCCAGGCAGAGTAATGACATATCCATAGAAACAAGCAGGTTACATAGCGTAGACTTTACACTTTATGCAGCACTGTCCAGTTGTAGTTAAATTTTAAATGCTTTCTTTTAATCTCTCTCTATTTCTACTTTTTCCACAATATCTCTCCATTGTTCACCACACAGACTGTGTCCTTCTAACGGTGCTATAAATAACCAATATAAGATTCCTGCTTATTTCCCAGTACCACTGTAAGAGTCTTGGGTTACTCATATCTGCATAAATGTGTGATAAAACATTTTTTTTTTTTTTTTTTTTTACAAAAAAAGGAGGTTTAAGCAGTAATTTAGCTCCCAGCCTTGTTTCCAGTCATTTTGTGACATGTGCAGTACTCGGCTCCAGAGTCGACTTGGGCTTGGTTCCGTATCCAGAAATGTTGGTCCTAGGGATGTTAATAATCTGGCAAAGTTTCATGCTTGTACCATAAAAGTGAATAATTGGGCACTTTTTTGGTCCTTAACAGCTCCACTACATTCCAAAATATAAAATGCATTTGTGTACACTTTTGTCCAGTTGGCAAATTAATTTCTCCTTTGACGTGGATTCTACCTGGACAACTGAGGGATTTTATTTTTATTTGTGTACAAACTTTTAAAGGGTCCATTGATATAGGCCTCGACTGTTACCAACCGTCATTTGCTGAGCTGCATTTGCCAAAACAACACAGGGTGTCCCAGAAAATGTGACATAATTTCACAGGCCAATAATTTTGGCAATTGTTGTTGAAATAACCTCAAATTTTCATAGAATGCACAGAAACCGATCATGATTTTATATTGAATGTTTTACTTTTGTTCTGTTTTCAGGTTGAGCTGTTCACTTCCAAAGAGAAGTCATTTTGTGTCCTGGAATCTGCTCACACACATATGTGATCCTTTAGTCCTGCATAAGATCCTTCCTCTTTACATTTTTGATACTAACTCCAAATTAGTTTGCCAGTTGGTGAATTTTTTTCAAATTTTACATTGAAGGCACGCTGTAGATTCCAAGAGACAAAATGACTTCTCTTTGGGAATGAACGGCTCAACCTGAAAGCAGAACAAAAATAAAACATTAAATATAAAATCTTGATCTGTTTCTATACATTCTGTGAAAATTTAAAGTTATTTCAACAAGAACTGCCAACATTATTGGCCTGTGAAATTATGTCAGTTTTTTGGGACACCCTGAATATAATGTAAACAAAAGTGCCCTGGAACAACCTGACAAGATCTTCGGTCAATAAGGTAAATGGTAAAATGGTCAATGGTCACATTTTTATACAGCACTTGTCCACCTTCAAGGCTCTCAAAGTGCTTTACAACAAAGAACCACCCAGCCAGACACTAGGGGCGAGGTGGGTCAAGTGTCTTTCCCAAGGACACAATGACAGCATTTATCTGTGAGAGTGGGATTCAAACCACCAACCTTCAGATCAGTGGACAAACCCTCTTACCAGCTGAGCTACACTGCTACACGACTGTTATATACATGTTTCTCTGACAGAACAGTTTAGCATTGAGCCTCTTATAATCTCCAGCAGACAGGTTTCATCAGCAGGCAGCCGTCTTGTGCTCACATGCTCAGTGTTCAGTGTCACCATGGCGCCTCCTGATGACATCATGCAGGGGTTTATCAGACTTATCTCGTGAGTAAAGGATACGGCGTGCATGCTTCTCTTTGACCGGCGTCTCTGTGGAGTTGATGGCTTTGCTGATACTGCTGAGCTGAAACACACAGAGGGGAGGGGACACGGGTTACACATGGAGCCAAGGACGACGTCATTTTAACATTTTAGTATCGCAGTTATTGTGAGAGAAAAGAAGATGACAGAGAATCAGACTTTCTGCACAGTAAGTTGCACAGTTCTAGCTGTTTGTTACACCTCAACTTTACTAAAAAGGTATTAGACTTTTATCGCTGGGTTTCAGATGACATCCCAGCGTTCTATAGGCCTATGGATCATTCCACACCATTTCAACAAATGGCCCACGCACTTCGATCTCAAAAAATTTTGAAAACTTTACCAAATAGTCCCTTACTATCATGTACCAAACTTGTGAAATTTTAGTCATTTTTGATCAATACTTTTTAAGTTACAGCTCATTTAGTGAGGGGAGTATGTGTCCATTTTCGGGCCCAAAATGCACGTCATTTTTTCTCGGCCGTTTTCACAGGTCGATATCTCTGTAAGTATCACACATAGAGGGCTGAAATTTTGTAGACTTGTACTCCTCTACTCTGTGTTCAAATAACATCTATCCAAACTTTGGTATCCCAACTCATTGTCATTTTATATTAAAAAAATTTTTCATTTTCATGGCCTACCATTTTTAGCCCCTTTTTAAACCTACTTGTAGGTGTCAGAGACCCTTCAATTTTTTTGAGAATCAAGATATGTACTAGGACTGTAAAACAAAATCACCAAATGTTGAAAATTTGAAATAGATTATGTGTGAGGGTTCTGTTAAAAACAAGAAAATGCAACATGGTCCGATTTTCACATGTCATTTATGGCATGTGGGTAGTGATAAAAACATTTTGAATATTTTTTTCCTGAAAGACCAGAAAAAGACCTTTCATATGGTACCAAACATATGTATTTTATAAAGCTCCTGAAATGGCATGGAAAGACTTCTATATACATTGTAATACAGTGAGTTCTTGAGTTTAGTCAGTAATTGAAAACGCTTCAATATTTCATGGCAAAGTACAATATAATGTATAATAATCTGGCCCTTGTCCCCCATTTCACAATAGGATGGTCTCACAATAATATCGTAGACCATCACAGTATATCGAATTACAGGTCTCTTTGCTTTAATTAAGAGTTATGGTGCAGCAATAGCTAAAAAAAACTGACAGAACTACATAGACCATGATCCTTTGCTCCATTTCAGAGCAGACTACATGAAGAAATAATTGTTCTAAGCACTTTTAAATCTTACTTCTTTGGGTTAAGTCTGTTTAAGAGAAAAAAGTAATGTATTCACAGCTAGCCTCCACAAAATATCGCAATAAATATCGTACCATGAGCGATATATCGTGGAAATATGGATCTGGATATGTGGATATGGTTACATCATCACATTCTAAAATCTGAAAACTCCCAGTGGGGCATTAACTACAAACACATAATATCTTTAGATCACCATGTTACCTTTTATTGTTTTCAAAATGCTATATTCACCAAAAACAATATATAAGTGTATAAGTTTCACTTTTATTTTGCTTTCTTTGATAAGCCACACCCCCTTCAGAGCGCTAACATATTACAGCTCTCTAATGAACATACTGCCCATCACATCAGGTTTGTGAAGTTGTAGTGTAGTGTTTTGTATCCTGCTTGTATTCAGTGTAGAAACATGGATTCAAATAGAGTCCAAGAGAGAGCTTCATTTATGATGAGGAAATGTTCTAACAAGGTAAAAAGCTCCAAAAGTTGATTTTGCATAATACATGATTGTTATTTTTCAGATATTGTGACCTGAATAATATCAATTATAGAGTAGCCTAATAATTAGAGCAGGTTATCATTAAGAAGTTGGCAATATGATACAGTACATACCACAGTACATACGCCACAATATGATACGGTTTTCAATACAGTACGATTCAATAGTATATTTCAAATCTATTCGATACGGTTCAGTAAAAAAAAACAACTAAATAATACTAAAAGTTTTTATTAATCCACAAAGTTCATAAGAAAAACACCCATTTTACTGAAGACAGTGAAAATGTCAAATGTGTCGCATAAACAAGTGAACTTTCTACAAACAAGAAACAAAACTGTAGCTCTTTCACAAAATAATTTAGTAAAATATACAAAAAAATACTCTTGAGGATATATCAATACAGCAGCCCACGATATTAATGCCTTATCATCAAATTAAACGATACCATATATTGATATTTCAATATTTCTGCACACCCCTACTAATAATAATCATCATCAGTACACAGAGCTCCAGGGCTGCGCTTGTACTCAGCTGTGTGGTAGTATTTATTTACTTGAGTAACTTTTTAAAGAAATTGTACAGCTCATTCATTTTTTTATTGATCCTTTTGATCCTTTTTGTATGTTTGATTTTATGAACTATAACATCAACCTGCCCAGGGACGACAGGTGGAAATTAGTACTGTCTCATAAATAAATAAACTAAACTAAGCCTAAAACTTAAACTTAAAGTAAACCTTAAACTGAACAAAACTAAACTAAACCTAAACTTAAATCAAAACCTAAACTTAAACCAAAACTAAACTAAACTAACCCTAAACCTTAAACTTAAACTAAACTAAACCTTAAACTAAACTAAACCTAAACCTTAAACTAAACTAAACCTTAACTTAAACTAAAACTAAAACTTAAACTAAACTAAACTAAATTAAACTTTAAACTTAAACTAAACTAAAACTTAAACTAAACCTTAAACTAAACCTTAAACTTAAACTAAACTAAACTTTAAACTTAAACTAAACTAAAACTTAAACTAAACTAAACCTTAAACTAAACTAAACCTTAAACCTAAACTAAACCTTAAACTTAAACTAAACCTTGAACTAAACTAAAACTTAAACTAAACCTTAAACTTAAACTAAACTAAATTAAACTAAACTAAATTAAACTTTAAACTTAAACTAAAACTTAAACTAAACTAAACCTTAAACTTAAACTAAACCTTGAACTTAAACTAAACCTTGAACTTAAACTAAACTAAATTAAACTAAACTAAATTAAACTTTAAACTTAAACTAAAACTAAACTAAACTAAAACTTAAACTAAACTAAAACTTAAACTAAACTAAAACTTAAACTAAACTAAACCTTAAACTTAAATTAAACCTTAAATGTAAACTAAACCTTAAACTTAAATTAAACTAAACTAAATGTGGTTTTGGTATTTTCAGTGTTTTGTTCTTAGAATTACATCAACTTCCAATTTGTAAATCACATTCAGAGACTAAACTAAACCTTAAACTAAACTAAACTAAACTAAAACTTAAACTAAACTAAAGTAAACTTTAAACTTAAGTTGAACCTTAAACTTAAATTAAACCCTAAACTTAAACTAAACTAAACGAGGTTTTGGTATTTTCAGTGTTTTGTTCTTAGAACTACATCAACTTCCAATTTTTAAAATCACATTCAGAGTGTGTATAAATGGATATAGTCAACACACTAGTCGCCGCATGAGCACGACAGTGAACACGGCTGCAAAGTGGTTTCTTCGAGCTCTGGTTGCAATTCAGTTTGTATTGAAAAACCGTCGCTCCTCTCTCTGTACCTGCTGCTGTGAGCCTCGTCATTTTGGTCTTAAAATATTCGTATTAACCCGCTCTATATGATCCTGCAGGTTTTTACTTCACTTTTCTGACCCTATATTAAGACATGAACATTATTAACAGAGCAATTTTCTCCAAGGCTGCTCACGACTCCTGGTCTCAGGTTGCAGTTTAGGCGTTATAACTGCTAGCCTCGCTGAGCTTCATTAGGTTGCTGCTGAACGCTATGGGTGACGTCACACTCCCTTTGTCCACTTCTATTACATGGTTTATGATCACGTTACGTCCAGACTTAGTTACTTAGTTACAATTACTCTTACTTAATCAGTTTTCTCAGGGAGTTTCCCCACAGACTTTTTTACTCTTAGGTAAGGCTGTGCGATTAATTGAATTTCGGTTGTGATTTCTATTTGTGTGTCTCCAAACTCATATAATCTAGTTGAAATGATTAAAGCTTATCAAAGTTTTAGGATTTTTTAAAGTAGAGTATATTTAAATATTTTATTTGATTTGATTTTTTAAATATAGAGATTGTAGAACAGCTGGATATAAAGTTTATTTTGGATACATTTAAGTTTTTCTTTTTTTCATGTTCAAAGTTTATTTTATTCATTTTATGTACTATACAAAACTGCTCTAAAAGGGACATATTTGTATCTTATATTTATTTTCAATTTGAAAGTTTTGCGTAAATTATCAGTAACAAAGTGTTTTGGGGTTTTTTTTGAGAGAGAAATTCTGACAAAATGCATATAATTAAAAAATAATAATCTGAATAATCGTGATGATGATTTTTTCCATAATCGAGCAGCCCTACTCTTAAGTGAGTTATTTTCTTGCGCTACTACTTTGTTCTTCTACTTGAGTAATATTCTTCTGAAGTGCAGTTATTCTTACTTGAGTACAGTTTTTGGCCACCCTGCCCACCTGCGCTTGTGTTCACAACAGCAGCAGTCAGTCACGAGGAGCGCGGCTTAGACTCAGATAAAGATATCTCTGGACTGTTCTGGGGCAGATAAGATCGGTTCATACTTAAAGAAACAAGAGAAACATTTACTTGCTTTGAACTAGTACCCTTCATTCAGATGTAAATAACAGATGACACAATATTTCACTGCATACAAGCGATTTGGGCTGAAAGGTTCATAGAAATCTCCATTAGATCTTATCAAACTGATGCTGCAAATCAGAATTCTATTAGACGTAATCATGTATAAAACTACTACTGCTATCCCTGTAGTTTAGACGTCTTTAGATATGGCATTCGTAGTCCACCAAATCTAATCACTATCTCAAAGCCTGAAATGCATGAAATGAAGGTTTAATAATAAGACTGGAGACTGGAGCGAGCTTCACCCGTGAACACATAATCATCATCTATCGGGCATAGGGGGATAAAAAAAAATGGCCATAGCGATCAACAAGATATTATTTTAAATTG